CCCCTAGACGGGCAACCAAAGAAAAACGAGGGTGGTTCCGAGTTGCTTATAGATCCTCCTAGTCGACGTATTTCGAAATTTTTGTGAACACGAAGGTTTAGATGGGATAAAAAAATTTGTTTCCGGCGTAAAGTTGAAAATTCTGTTCTAGATATTTAAATAATAATCTTTTACAACCCCCTAGAGGGCAACCAAAGAAAAACGAGGGAGGTGCTGAGTTGCTTATAGGTTCCCCTATTCCTTCTATTTTTAATTTTTTATAAGTGAGGTGCGACAAACATGTGAAAATGTAGTATAAATTTCCGCCCGCAATTCGGTGATCTGAGCTCCTCCATCCCAAAGATGATATCCCGCACGTCATAAACCGTGGCTGGGGAAACCGTGGATAACATCACACAAACATACCTAGGTATGTACCTACATCGAAATCTTATCATTAATAATGATGTCGGGAGTATCGCCTTACAGGTAACATTTTTTTTAGAGCGCTCTTTCTAAATTTATAAAACTGTGCTTATCCTAAACATACTTTATTAGACATATAAAATATCAAAAGTACGGCATAATTATTTCTGCTGGAATCGTAATTAAAAGTACTGTATGGAACACCTAAAATAGAGTACGATATGCGAGTTAAAATGAATCACAAAACACATTCTTGCACCCAAATGATTTTTTGTGCATATCATCGTTATTTATACGAATAATTCACCCTAACTTAAATAGGTTTAGTGTTTAGCGAAATGTTACAACAAAAATTACTAACTTCAAAACTTCTCTCCTCCGAGCACCATGGTCTATAGTGATTTTTTATTTTTTTAAATGAAACAAAAAGGAAATAAATGAAACTTTTCCTCTGACAGCGGTCAATATAAGCAAGGATGGCGTTGAACGGCCCCAGCGGGGAGTGGTAACGGTAACGGTAACGACCCGGTCCCGGTCGTGTCTCCCGTACCACCGCGGTCTGCTCATCTTTGCTTTTGACTTTCCCGAGCCGAGCCATGACAGACAGGGCCGCAGCCGTTGTCGTCTGTGTCTACCGGAATGACGGAGGGAAACAGAATTAAAAATAAACGCCAGAGATACATGTACACTTATTTATGATTTTTCGTGGAGTCATGGATCATACATATTCGCAGAAAACACACTTCTACTACTGCAGTGTTTTGTCCCGATCGGTTGTTGACTTCAGAAGATTCGAACTGAATTCAGAGTTCTTGCACTAAAAAATAATGTATACAGTTTTCCCATAGATCTAATAGTATATCTACTACATACGTATCTATATTAGATCTATGAGTTTTCCCCAAAATTGTACTCTCATGTTCAAAATTAGTAAGGCATTATTAATTATATATTTTGCAGGCGTAAATTATAATTTTATTTTGCCTCCAAACCGGGGGAACGTATTTTTACTGTGACGTGAAATTACCGATACACTTGCTCTTATTTCACAGAGATGTAAATGTTATTTTTCTCTTACGAGTGATAACTTCAGTGACAACTCATCTGCTACGTAAATAACTCGATAAGAACAAAGGAATATTGCCCAGCATAAAATGCTCATTGAGCTTCAGAAATATCTTTGTGTGCACAAATCGATCACAATAGTAATATTTTCAGAATGGAGACCTCTGCATCAGCATCCTGCATCCTCCCGTGGACGACCCCCAGTCAGGAGAGCTGCCCTGCGAACGCTGGAACCCCACTCAGAACGTGCGCACCATCCTGCTCTCCGTTATTTCACTACTGAACGAGCCCAACACCTTCAGTCCGGCCAACGTGGACGCCTCCGTCATGTACCGCCGCTGGAGGGAATCCAAGGGCCGGGATAAAGAATATGAGAACATCATCAGGTGGGTATATCGGTACTTTTTCCCCTGACGGCCCCATATTGTTGGCAATTCTGCTGTTTCAATAGGGGCGATTTGTATTTTTCTTATTATTATTATTTTTTTTTATGTGATTAAGTGCAGTATATTGTAGATTTATGTTACTAAGCGCTACTATTGTCGCTGTTGTTGGTATTGCCATTTAAACCTGCCGCCTATCTGCTTATAGCCCAGTAAATGAAAAAAAAATAAAAAAATGTACAAAAATTTGTTTCAGATTGAAACTTGGTTTAATCGTTATTTTAGGCAAAAAGAAATAATAATTCCCAAAAAGTATCGGTTTAAAACGATGTAAAAATTACCAAAAATGGAGATTAAAAAAAAAACGTTAAAATTGGTCCACAATTACCGGAGATATCGCAAAATTTTCGGGCAGTTAAGATTTGAAGTCTCCGAACGTTTCTGTCTTACTTCCCCCACCACATTCCAGGTGTAAAAATGTATTCGAGGACGTTTTTTAAAGGGTTAAAAATTACTATAAAATGCATTTTTTTTTGATATGTTTAACCGTTATTATGAAATTTAAGGGTTGATTGATTTATTCATTCCCGAAATTTCAAGTCTTAATGTTTATAATTAAACAATTTATGAATTAAAAAAAATCGCTATCTTGGCTAAAAATGGTCCTAGAACAATTTTTTTTTAATTCGTGAAAAATTACCAGGATTACGAATATCAAAGTGGCTTTAAAAAATATTCATTCTTCGCAATGTTATTAACGAAAAACCTTATAAACAAATTACACTATTTGTTTATACGCCGCTTTGAGGAGGTTAGCCTATGAAATTACAGTTTCCAATTGCATATCTTGAAAATATAAGTCAAGACGAAACGAATGAGCCCTCATAAGGCCCTTTATTATAACTCTAACAACCGTGTTTTTGCAATTGAAAAAATGCCGTTTCTAATAAACAAATGCAAAAACTCGTAAACAAATAAATATTTTTTTACTAAATTTTCAGGGTTTCTTAAGCGTAACAAAATAAATTCAAATTTCGCTGTTTTTTTTGCAATTATTTAAACTAATGGATTTTAATTTAGCAGGTCTCAAATGAAGCGTTTTTTGAAAATCTATAAGTATAAACAAAAGCAAAAACTCCTGTTGGAGAGCGCTAAATAATTTAATTTTTGGTAATTTTTACATTATAATCATTGTTTAAACAATGATCTTGTTGTTTTAAACCGATACTTTTTGGAAAATATTATTTCTTTTTGCCTAAACTAACGATTAAACCAAGTTTCAATCTGAAACGAATTACGTTTTGATTACAAATTTCATTTAAGGGCTATTAATAATCATTCCTCACTGTTTTAAGAAATTCCAATTGAATGCTATGAACAAAAAGGTAATAGTGCTATTTATTGGCTATACGTTTTCAACAAAAACACAAATAACTTTTAATAGTATGTATGTATTGTAGCATGCCCATGTCGGTTCTTTTGTGAAACAACCTGTACATTATCAGTAAATACAGTTATAAACTAATGAAGCTCTCTTAAGGTTTCACAATACTTTAGTTAATTACTAAACTAAGTGGGGATTTGGTATTAGATTTTAGAAATCACTTTGGTAATTTAAATTGCATTCTTGAATTTGAACATTTGGTACATGGATCTAAAAATAATTTTCATGAACTCTGCATTGCTTTGTTATGCTTGTGATTTCTCTTATTATTTCTGACTTTTTTATTAGTTGTAAATGTGTGATCAATATCAGTAACGAGGAGATCCTTATCGATGTGAATTGTAAAGTTAAAGGAACATAATTAAATTAAATAAATGTTTGAAATATATATTTTTTTAATATTACTTCTGTGAAATATCCGTAATATGAAAAATACGTTTTCATATTATGTTTTCATGGGGAATGATATAAATGGGGGAAACTTTACCCCTAAACAGACAATAAGACATCATAAGTTCTTCTACAGACTGCATACGTAAAACGGTATTAAAAACGTGATTGACCAAAAATAGATATTGGCAGCAGAAGTGCTTTTAATTGGCCACCTGTTCCCATTTTTTTGTTAATGTCCGAGATTTACTCATATGATATTTTTGTCATTTGTTCATTTAGAGAAACTGCTTAGAATTATATAGTTGCTCTGAACAAATGGTTCTTTTGCATAAATAATACCTGTTGGTTGTATCATTACCATACATACATATTACCATATTTTTGTTAGCGGGATATTTAACTGCCCAGTTTTGTTAATTATTTACTTTTCCATAAATTTTATTTTATTTTTTCGTCAAAAGTAATATTCAGCGTACCCCATTAAGGGTGCAACGAATTTTAGCCCAGTTACTGTAGCTGAAAATATAGTAATACCTCCGAATTTTTTACAACTGCATCGATTTTTCTCAAAATTTAGAATTAGGCTCATCTTACCTCCCACTTCAAAACTTATATATGCGCTAGGTGTGCTTTTTGTTCTTAGGGGGTGAAAACCACCCCTTATTGGAAAAAAAAGAAAAAATACAAATTTAAGCATTTTATGTAATCAAATCCTTTTTATTTATGCAGTATGAGTACTTTGATGTGCTATCTAACATGAAAATTAATGTATCCCAAATTTTCAATCCAGAAAAACCTTAAAAAACCACCCCTTTGGATGAAAATAATAAAAAAAAAATTTTTTCAACTTTTTAATCATGCATTTTTATCAAATTAAAATTGATTTCTTGATTAAAAAATCTTTTTTATCAATTTCAACTTTTCAACCCTTGAAAAATAGCCCTTCTTTCGAAAATAAAATGAAAAAATATTATTGAAAGAGTACAAACATTTTAAATGTGTATTCATATTAAATAAACATTTATTCCCTTCTTATAAAATAATTTTGAATTGATTACAACTTTTCAACCCTTAAAAATTACCCCTTAACTTAACTTTCTTACTTTTTAAGATTATGAATCGCACAAGGGCTCATTTTGCAGGGAATTGTAAGGACTACGTGAACTGTTGAGTTGATCTTTTTTAAGCCCTTCATTTTTAAGTTTGAAGGGTTTAAAGGGCTCGAAAAGGGCGGTTCTCTCATTCATGTGGTAACTTAAACTGGCGATATCTCGATTAAGGGCGCCGTTTTATAGACAAGAAATCGCACTTTTGGTAAGACAGCGATAGCACCTGATAGATAGTAGAAAATCCATCCAGGAAGTGGCGGTCTCTACTAGCGTAATGCCAAACTAGAACAACTTCATAATACCACATAGCAATCGACGAAGATTTCTTTAATCGGTAACTATATATTCTCAGGACATTGGTAAGCCTATTATCGTCCAGAGCCGCATTAGGGAAAATATGTGCAATGAACAAGAATTGTCAGATAATTTTAATATTTGCACAGAAAAATAATATAATGACCTACAGTGTTTTAATAAAATATTGGATGTGGAAACAGAGGAATACTATACTTGATACTATCAAAAATTTAAACATTTATTATAGTGTTTACGAAGATAGTTGAAACCGTATAAAAACTAAAAGTCGGCATCTCTTTATTGTGCCCGGAAAGAGATGCCGACTTTTAGTTTTTATACGGTTTCAACTATCTTCGTAAACACTATAATAAATGTTTAAATTTTTGATAGTATCAAGTATAGTATTCCTCTGTTTCCACATCCAATATTTTATTAAAACACTGTAAGTCATTATATTATTTTTCTGTGCAAATATTAAAATTATCTGACAATTCTTGTTCATTGCACATATTTTCCCTAATGCGGCTCTGGACGATAATAGGCTTACCAATGTCCTGAGAATATATAGTTACCGATTAAAGAAATCTTTACGTCGATTGCTATGTGGTATTATGAAGTTGTTCTAGTTTGGCATTACGCTAGTAGAGACCGCCACTTCCTGGATGGATTTTCTACTATCTATCAGGTGCTATCGCTGTCTTACCAAAAGTGCGATTTCTTGTCTATAAAACGGCGCCCTTAA